AATTTGCAGACATGTGAGTGGTGACACCAACTGCCTTCCATCCCAATCTCTTAGGAGGTGAAGTGTCCTCCCTGGGGCCCATTAGTTGGTGAGTCCTGAAGGACATTGGGATGTATTGGTGTACACCCCTAGAGATTCTTGAAAATGTTGAGAAGAGACCCAGTGGGAAGAAAAAAAGTCTTCCTATTCATCAGCAATGGGGAGAAAAAGCATCGAGATTTGTCTTTCCTCAAAATATGACCTACTTGATATACTTCCATGGACTGATTAGGCCAGAACTTAGTCACTGCAGATATGTATATGTGTATGTATATGTATATATGTAATATATGTATCTGTGTACGTGTCTATTTGAATCCTCAAAAGAACCCTGCAAAGTAATATCTCTATTTCACAGAGGATACAACCAAATTGAGAGAGGTTAAGTTACTTGTCCAAGTTCACACAGCTAAAAAGTAACAGAGCCAGACTTAAATCCAGACCTGCTTCATTCCAAAGATTTTGCTAAATGGCTAAAACTTTTAAGTCCTTATTGGGAAACATTGCAAATATATACAAAAGTAGACAGAACAGAACTGACCTTTTTGTTCAGTTATTTAGGTTCAACAATATTTAACCTACGGCCAGTCTTGTTTCACCCATCCTGTCACCCACTAAACCCACCTGGCTTTGTTTTGAAGCAAATCCCAGATATCACAGACATTTCTTCCATAAATATTTTAGTCTGAATCTCTAAAAGAAAAGGACTGGAAATAATTCACTTCCTTCTTTCCTTTTTACACTAAAATATCCCAAATAAATGAATTTCCCTGGGTCAGTAAAGTACCTCTGATCTCCCCAAGAATGTCCCAAACTGAGGCCAAATGATGGGATGTCCTTTTTGAAATATTAATCTTGTTAGAGTCCTTTGTTCACCCAAAGATCCTCTTATGAATACTGATGTTGACTTTCATCTCACACTGTGCTTTCTGAATAAGAGGCTGACATGCAGCTTTCTCTGTGAATATGGGAAAGGAATAAAAAATAAACCTCAAGTTCTCAGGAACACCAGTCCAAAGAAATGAGTCAGAGCCCTGCCAGGCGTGGCTCAGCAGTTGAGCATCAACCTAGGATCCAGGAGGTCACTGGTTTGATTCCCAGTCAGGGCACACGCCCAGGTTTCGGGCTCGATCCCCAGCAGGGGGTGTCCAGCAGGGGGTGTGCAGGAGGCAGCCGATCAATGACTCTCTCATCACTGATATTTCTATCTCTCCCTCTCTCTGGAATCAATAAAGATATTAAAAAAAGAAAAAAAAGAAATGAGTCAGAAAACAATAGGGCAAGGCCATCAATTCAACAAGTTCATGGAGTGCTCACTCTCAGTGTCTTAAGTAGATCCTGAAGGGAGCACAAAAATAAATAAGTAAATGGGCATTCAACAAATATTAATAGGGAAGCTACTATTTACCAAATTCATGTAGGAAGCTAGATGCACATTGGCCAAGTGAAGGCACTCTCCACCAAGCTGATAAACATAAGAAAACCAAGAATTACAACACAACCAGAATACAGGTGACAATCAGGGGAGAACAGAGAGCTACTGGGCTCTAAAAGAACTTATATTTTCCTGAGTGGGATAGTTGAGAAATGAGGAAACTGAGGCCTGAAAGACATGACTTTTCCATAATTATGCAGAAACAGAACCAGGGAAAAACCTGGTCTCTTCCCTTCTAATGCCGTGTGATTTCTACCTCAAGAAGGACTAAGGATGCTCGACTGAACGTGTCTTGCTACCACAAGAAAAGCTTTGTGGCACAGCTGGTGTTTGAAATGGGCCTTAACAAGCAAATAGAATTTGAGAAATGGAGATGTGTAGTGTTTCTAAGTAAAGAACATAAAAGGTTTGTGTGATATTTTCTGACGATACACACTACTTGGTTTGCTTGACATGCAGGGACAAACATAAGGCAGTCATGAGGAAAGGATGGAAAGTTAGGTTGTGACCAGATGAGAGAGGGGCTCGAATTCCAGGCCATGTTGTTTGGTACAAAGGCTCTCAAGGGCCACAAAAATTCTATAGTTGGAAACCAAAGAGTTAAGAAAACTCCATGATTTATGGGTCACTGGGATGAACACAGATGATGATGTTAATATTTTAATCTCATATTTCATTCTAATTCCTTGTACTTATGACTAGTGAGAATGCTTAGAGGAACATTTCATAAGGAGAGCTTTCCATTTGCGTAAGAGATGGGTGCAGGGGCGTGAAGGCTGAGAGGCAGGAGTGAGGAAGTGAGGTGTGCAGGGTAGAGTCAGGCTGTGTAGATTCTTCGGTGGATCAGAACTTTGGAAAAGGAATGGTGAGAACTGGTGGTAACAGCCACAGAGTGCAGCCGACAGACCAGTTCCTGGGACTGTAGAAGACACGGCACAGAAGACAACGTGAAAGCCTTCAGGGAAACTACACATCCCCCCAGGAGCATTTGACACGAGTTTCTATTATGATCTCTGTTAGCTTCTATTTCTTAACGGGTGTCAATACCATAGACAAAACAACTCATTCGAATGTTCTAATGAGAGTGGATTAGGAGGCCCTTTTAGATACATCAGCCAGAACATTTCCTAACAAAAAATACTTTCAAGGTAACTATGGGTAATTACGACGATTGAAATGCCTACAGTCAGTGTTGTAGGAGGGGCAGTGAGAAAGGCTTATCCGTGGAAGCTAGATGAACCTGAATTGGAATCCCATGTTCTCTACTTACTAGTTGAGAAATCTTGGGCAAGTTATTTAACCTCTCTGAACCTCACTGTGTCATCTGTAAAAGCTGAGTCCGCCTGCCATCGCCGTTGTGGAGAGGGTCAGTGGCCTGGCATGTGGAAATGCTTTCCTAGGAAGTACCTGGTATACTGGACACTGATGTTTGTTTCTTCCCCCTTCTTGGTGAAGTCAGTGCCAGATAAAAGGGAAATTACGAATAAACAGACATCCTGTAAGCTTCCCAAGTATCCTGCAAGCTTCCAAGTTCAACTTCCTTTATTAAAAATTTATAAGAACTGCTAAGTAATAGCAAAATAGACTCATTTCCTTTTTCTTTCCTTTTCTTAGCTACAAATTCAGTTGGGTTCTAAGGAACAGAAAAATGTCAGACACGTATACTTAAAGGGAAGAAAGAGAACAAATTGTATAACTCAGCAGTAAAAAGAAAAATAACCCCTTTTAAAAATGAGCAAAAGATCTGGGTAGACATATCGCTAAAGAAGACATACAAATGGCAAGTACATAAAAAGATGCTCGACATCACTTGTCATTAGAGAAAGGCATATCAAAACCACAATGAGACACCACATCACACCCACTAAGATGGCTATAATCAAAAGAGAGAGACAAGTGTTGACAAGGATGTGGAGAACATTAGAATCCTCATACATTACTGTTGGGAATGTCAAGTGATGAACTTTGGAAATCTGTTTGCAGTTCCTCAAAATGTTAAACATAGAGTTACCATATGATGCAGCAATTCTACTCCTAGATATATACCCCCAAAGAACTGAAAACACAGGTTTACACAAAAACTTACACAACAATGTTCACAGCAGCACTGTTCACAAGAGCCAAAAAGTAGAAACAACCCAAATGCCCATCAGTTAAGGAATGGGTAAACAAAAAGTCATATATCCATACACTGAAATATTATTCGGTTAAAAAATAAAATAAAATACTTATAACATAGATGAATCTTGAAAAGATTATGCTAAGTGAAAGAAGCCAGGCACAGTAGGTCACATATTGTATAAATCCATTTATATGAGATATCCAGAATAGACAAATCTATAGAAACAGAAAGTAGATGAGTGATTGTCTAAGGGTAGGGGTTTTGGGGGAGGGGGGAATAAGGTAAACTGCTAAAGGGTATAAAGTTTCTTTTGGGGGTGGTCAAATGTTTTAAAATTGATTGTGGTGATGTTTGCATAACTCTGTGAATATATTTAAAAGTATTTTATAATTTAAATTGATGAATTGTTTGGTATATGAATTACATCTCAATGAAGCTGTTTATAAAAGAAAGAACAATAAGTTGTCAGAACCTGAAACAGAATTGTCTGCTCCATTCAATTGAGAAGCTCATGAAGCTCAGCCTTAGCCTGTAGACCAAGGAAGGAGTTCAAGATACATCTTCATGACCTGGGGAGTTCGCCTAAGTGACCTTGGTTCTTCTGTGTTATTTTCTTCTTGGGTGGAGAAATACTATTAACACCTCACTGCAGCAAATATGATACTCTCTGGGTATTGCCCTACTTTATGGCTTTTTACAAGGTACCAGCACCTCAAAGATCTAGCCTTGAGGTCAAGTCTTAGATAATCAGTTGATGGAACCCGAGGCTTCTTACAATCATTAGTGAATTTATTATTTATTTATTTATTTATTATTTATTTATTTATTAAATATATCTTTATTGATTTCAGAGAGAGGAAAGGAGATGGAGAGAGAGAGAGAGACAGAAACATCAATGATGAGAGTCATTCATTGGCTGCAGCCCTCAACCTGGGCATGTGCCCTGACCGGGAATCGAACCCTGATCTCCTAGATCTTAGGTCGATGCTCAACTGCTGAGCCACACCCGGCCATTAGTGAATTTAAGTCCCAAACCAGCCTGACTCTCAAACAAAAAGTTCAGCCCACTTTATCAAATTCTCTCTTGGTTATATTTCCTTGAGTCTATACTATAGAGGGGGTAGAAAACCCCTAAATGACTGAATTTTAATTTCCTGCCATCAAAGGTTGACATTTCTTATGCATTTGAGTTTTGTGGTATAAGTCTCATACTTGCTATGAGTGTATCCATAATACAGCTGACCCTTGAACAATGTGGGTGTTAGGGCACCAGCCACCCACCCAGATGAAAATACTCATATAACTTAAGTCACCAGTATTTACAAAAAAAGAAAAAAAGGATACCCATAGAAGACCAGGATATGGTAGTCCTAAAAATGAAGTTAAATATAGCCCAACACTCACTTCCATACTTAGGGCATCATTCATCCTGATGCAATCAGAAAGATCTGTTCCTGGGTGGGGTTGAACCGCAGGGCCTAGGAATCTGGCAAAAGAAAGTAAAGATCCTTACTACAGGTGGGAAAATTGCAAACGTGAGAAGATACCAAACATAGTTCCCTTCCCTGCCCCAGTTTTACCAAATTCATGGATTTAGTAAAGTATAATGAAAGAGAGCCCCAGCTGCCATCAGAGAGAGGTTATGAACCACAGAGAACCTAGCCAAAGATGAAAATGAAGAATTTGCAATTCAAAGTCCGGCCTCCCCACCCTCTATCAGAGCGGACATTTCACTGGGCTGGACAGTGCTCATAAACTACATTTCTGAGCTCTTCCTCGGGAAGATGGGTCTGTTTACTGAATGGTAAGCGAGCGCAGATGAGCTTCAGGGCCGGGTGGGGAGTGAGAACAGGGATGAGCTCCCAAAGGCTTGAGAGCCCTGAGTGCGAACGGATGGAAACAGAAAACCCATCTGAGTAAGTTAACTTAGCGGTATATGGTGTATTTCTAAAAACTGAGGAACAGCCCTGGCTGGCAGCTCAGTGGTTAGAGCACTGGCCTTCCCACTGAAGGCTCCCAGGTTCGATGCCCAGTCAAGAGCAAGGACCTGGGTTGCAGGTCCGATCCTCGCCCCAGGTCGGGGCCCTGTGGGAGACAACCAATCAGTGTGTTTCTATCGCATGCATGTTTCTCTCTCTCTTCTCTTTCTTCTC